ATAATGTATTATTCAGCATATATTATTAAATTTTATTCAGGTTGTATTAAACATGTAATATGTGGTCTTCCTTTAATGTAAAAAGAATATAGATATAATCATGAAACCTAAAATATTCCATTTATCTGGTATATATTATAAAAACAATTACATGTTATATGATAAATTAATAATATATCTACGTTTATCTTATTCTAGATTCAATGTTTATATCTTTTAATTATTCAAAAAATCATTTCATGGTACAACATTTACGTACTACTTAATCACAATATATATAAAATATTTTATGGAATCACAGATTGAATATAATATTATTTATTACAAATAATATTATATAAAACAATGAAACATATAATTATTAAATTGATAGGGATATTTTTACACATATCCATATTCTGTAACGAATTAATCAATTAAAAAAAATATATCAAATATCATTATAAGTATAATCAGATATTCGGAAATAAAAAAGAAAATAAAATCAGAAATGATAAATGGAATAAAGGAATGAAATATGTATAAATTGATAATATAAATTATAAAATTTATAATTAAAAAAAATAACGAAAAATTATAACAGATAATATGTTACAAATATATATAAATATAAACATTAAAAATGAAATCTATTAATATAAGCAAATAAATATATAAATAAAACAAAAAAATAAACACTAATACCCCCCTTAACCATAAACTCTAAACCTAAATCTTAAATACTCTTATGTTTTACTACAAATAACTTTAATTATATCAATCTGAAAAAACATCTGTATCTATTGTTATAATAAATGTAATATATATATAAATGCATATAATATATATAATATAAAGGAACATGTTAATGCATTAAAAATAAATAATGAATATTTGTTTAAAATTGATGACGACAAAGAATTGGTTGCTCTTATAACATTAAATATTTATGTTATATTATAATATTGTGAAATAGCAGAAATAACACAACAACACATACAATTGCATAAATTTAAGCAAAATAGGATTATAAAAATATAGTAAATTAATAATGCAAATTATTTAACTATATTCAATTATTATAAAAGTAGTATATTAAAAATAATTATATATATAAACAAATATTAATATAAATAATTATGAATAAAAATATGTAATAATAATATATGTTCCATTATAATAAACAAATAATAATATAACTAATATTATAATGAGAACACAATATTACATTAGAAAATCAATATATAAGTTAATTAAAATTATATACTACATATATATAATAATATATTATATTACATTATAAAAATATACATAAATGTAAACAAATTTATAAAACGAAAAATCATAATCATTAATCTAAATTCTAAACTTATGCTCTAAAACATAAATGAATTTTCTATAACCTGAAAAATAATATATCACATGTATCATAAAACTATTGTATAAAAAAAAAATATTATAATAAATAATACAGATGTACATAAGCGAGGTTGATTAATCCTAGATAATTATATAATAATGAATTTAAATATTTATTTATTTTATTTGTACAAACTAACAAGTATGTAAATATAAAATATATGTATATTTATAGAATTCGTTTAATTCAAATACAATCAAAATTAATTATATATTATAAACGCTCTAAAATATTAACACTAAATGATAGCCTTAATGAAATAATTCCATTTATCTTATTTTACATTTATATTGTAATATCATCAATCATATTTTAATAATCTATACAGTATATAATATGCTTGTAAAAATAGTAAAACTATATATCTCAAAAAAAATTGTATTACAAAGAATCTTATAATATTTAGTATATTTGAAGTCTAAATAGCATTGTCTCTTACTTTGATAACTTAATATATTCTTTATAAGATAAACATAACTTATTCATTTGTTAAATTATACAAATAAAGCATAATGTCTGGAACTCTCAGTTATGAAAAGGTAATTTTATTTTCATAATAATATACATAAAATTTATTCTATATATTCATTTAAATACATTTTCTTTGGTAAATTAATAATTTTTTATATTATCAAAAATTTTATTTTAATATATTTGAAAATATACAATTTTTTCTTATAGATTAGGTATGAAAAAATATTCCCCCAATTTAGAGATATTTACAATACAACTATATATCGTTTCAGTAATTCTATTGATATCATTACTGGACTTTCTAAACTTTGTAATTATTTGATTATGTTATATTTCAAAGAAAATCAAGAACATTACGTTAGTTTACAAACCAAATGTAAGGGTCTTGGTCTTTATCTATACCATATAAAAGATAAAATTACATCTGATAATAGTTATAAAAATTTAGCTTGTATATATTTCAATTACAAGTTACAAGACATGTTAAAGAATTGTGAATGTAACATTAAAGACCCAGAAACTGTTTACAATTTAATGAGTAATCATAGTTACCTGGTTCCTCAAAATGGAAATTATTTCCTTAATATATGTTATAATGATATTACAAGTCTTGCAGATAGCACATTTGAAATATTTATGTATTTTGATCAAGTATATGAAGCTCTACCATTCATAGAGAAGGGAATAAACTGCTCATTCTATGATGGGAAATTTAAAGAGTATGTGAATAAATTAATAAATTATGTACCCAGTAACAGTAGTATAGCTACTTTACTAAATGATTTAATAACAAGATATAATAAAAGCATTCCGAATAGTAAATGTCCTGAACCAATATCTCTGACTAAATTAGGTCTAATTGAAATATCTAAGACTGAAACAATTCTGACTCAAAATTCTCATACTGAAAAATTTCTGACAGAAGAATCTGAGAAAGGAAAAATAATAAGTGGCGAAACGGCGGTGCATGGAATCCAAATAAAACACTCAGGTTTATCAATGGGAAAATGGGTAGGAGTTGTTGTTTTGTCTTCAGCATTATTAATAATGGCATTCTTTTTATATAAGGTTATATATATTTTTTAATTTAGATAAAATGTGTTATAATATGACACATTTTACACATTATTTTTCTATAATTATATAAAATTAGTAATCTACTTGTAAAATTATAATATTTTTCTTTTTTTATCAGTATACGCGCAATACTTCATTTATACGACAAAGGGCGAGGAAATTAAGGAAATTGATGAATATAAAAAGTGAAAATCATAACGATGTATTAGGCTCACATGAGGAAACATATAAAAATAGAATTCATAATCAGTATAAAATAGCTTACGTTTAAGTATAATAATCCTATTATGCACATAATATTAGTAAATTAAATAAACAATAATATATAAAATAAAATTACAATGCATCATTTTGATTATTGATGTAAAATGAATACTTATACGTATCGTCAAATATAAATATTATTGTAAAATTATCAAATAGGTTCCGATGTATTTTGTTATAATAAGTAATAAATAAATTATATTCAATGAGTAACACTCACAAAGAGGTGAAGCATTCAGGATTTATTATGAAACCAATAAAATAATATTTTATGGTTATGGTTATATAATCATTAGATGATAAAATTATGTGTACGTAACTAATGATGATACAAATATATATATTACCATTATTCACTTGAATTCACATGTGAAGAACAATAATTTTTTGTTATTTCTAATTAAGAAGAAATTTATATTTTATAAAAAAATTAATATTATTACATTTTATGAATAAATGTAAATATAGTAATTAATAGGACTCAACTACTAGAAAAATAAAATATATAATAAAAATTGTTAACAAGTATAATTATATAGTGAAGAAATTATTTCACTTAATAAATAAAACAAATATTCAAAAATTAAAACTTCTACTCACGCTGTATCATAAATTTAGGTAGATAAATAATAATAACTAAAATGAAAGACAAACACACCGGTATTAATATAAGAAAAACAGAAAAAATACATTAAATATAATAATAAATGGAATTGAAAAACAATTATAAGTTGAACTGGACAAAATGAATATATTATATTTCTTTTATGACAAAATAACTATATTGATTAGTACATAAATATAATTGTGCCATTATAACTACAGGGTACAGGGTTTACGATTAAAATTTTAGCAGCATTAGATTTTGCTATAATATATTTATATTTTTACGATTATGATTATAAAAATTAGATAAGTGTTAATTTTGCTATGCGATAAATTTTAGTTCTAAAAAATATTCAAAATAATTTATATATCTACAGGAAAATATGGGTGAAAGTTGCAAGAACGGCGAAATTAGTATACGATATCACACTGTAATAGAAAATTTGAAAATTGAGCTCAAAGAAACATAAATACTATAAGATTTACTATATCCAATTTAGTGCATGTAAAAATATATATGTAAATCTAATTAATATAATGTAGAAATAAAAATATTTTTTAAGTAAAAATATTTATTTGTTAGAATAAATTGTCCCTATTTGTCATTTCATAATTAAATAAAAAGTAATCTCTTAATACTTATTAATTTAAAACTAATGTACATATTTTATGAATTCCTATAGATTATATTTAATAACTATAC